GGCTTTTGAACTCCACATGAACCCAATTCAATTTCATGGGCCATAAACTTGCACTAGTAAGCCAATCCTAATAAGTTATTGAATTGGGCCTAAAGCACATTAACTTAGGCAAAATATAGCTAGGCCAAGAATGTAAAACTGTCCAGCTCAAATGGACCTATAGGCTGAGTAGAAGATTCTCTTAATCAAATAAATCAAAGATTTATTGAAAGAGATTAAGAAAATATTTTATATTTGAATTTCTTTTCCTTGTTAGTAACTAGTAAGTATTTCACTGTTTAGAGATTAAGAACTCTTTTGAGAAGTAAGGGAGGTTGAGTTATTCTTACAATTTTTATGGTTCGGTACTGACTCAACCTTTAGGTGTTGACTACTACGGAAACCCAATGATTTTGACTCCATGAGGGTCTGTTTTTATTCCATCATAGGTACATTATTTATTTATTGCATCTTACTTGTGCATCTTGCTATTAATCTCCATTTATTCTCTTCTTTGTCCCTTACTATTACCCTCTTTGTATTACACACCGATTTCCCTAGTTCTCTTTAGTTCCCTTTTACCCTCTTACTGTATTCCTCTCTCTTTGTTGTTCTGTTCTAAGCCTATGAAGTTATCCAGCTAGCTCATGTCCATTACAGTGGCATCAATTAGTTGCTGTTTGTGGTCATGCTAGGTTTTTTCCCCTTGTCTTTTCCATTGCCTATTTCTTTTCTTCCAAATACCCAACAAATGACAAAAGGAGCTTATTTTCACTAGGTACATTGTTAGGCCCGACTCAATCCAGGCCCAGAGGATATTGCAGCAGAGAGCTCAGGTGAGAAAGCTACAGGACAGCTGGTTTTTTTGCAGGAGGCCACATCAGCCATGACAGCAGGAGTTAGTTAGCACGGATCAATCCTAACTGAAATGATTCTATTGATAATGATGTTTATACGAGGGTGGGTTTGTGTATGGGGAGGGCATGAAAAGACAGATCTTAGTTTTCTCTCCCTATCTTCTTCTTTCCTTCATTTCTGTTCTGGAGGGTGGTTTGAAAAGACCCTGGTTAGGCAGTCCCTAACATACATCCTCTTGTATTATACCATTTAACTAGCCATGCCTCAACAAGAAATGATTCTTTGGTCTTTTCATTTTATTTCTGGGTAGTTGTCAATCATGATAATATACTACATTTCAGGAAACCGATTTGGATTCATACTTGGGAGGTCAACTATGGAAGCTATTTTTTAACATAGGAGATTAACAAAGAAGTTTAGGGGAATAGAGAGAGATTACCACTTGGAATTTACTGATTTAGAAAAAGCTTATGATAAAGTCCTTGGGGAAGTCATCTAGTGAATTTTGGGAAGAAAAGGGCTTCAAGTAAGTTGATATTATTAGGGATATGTATGAAATGGCAGAAACCAATCTGAGGACCCAAGAAGGGGAAATAAGAGGGTTTCCTATTACAATGGGTTTACACCAAGGATCGAGACTTGGTTCTTTACTTCTTTGAGTTTCTGTATTAGTTTTGGATGAATTATCTAGATATTTACAAGAAGAGTTTCAAGGCATATGTTTTTTGTTGATGATTCGTTACTGGTTGACAAGACTAAGGATGGGCTGAATGCAAAAATAATGCAATGGAAAGATATGCTTTACAATAAAAGTTTCAAAGCATGTGTTTTTTTGCTGATGATTCAGTACTGGTTGACAAGACCAAGGATGGGCTGAATGCAAAAATAATGCAATGGAAAGAAATGCTTTAGAATCAAAAGGTTTTAAGATAAGTTGGACTAAGACAGAACAATTGGTGTAATCGAGATTGGTGATCAAGTGATACCCTAAAGTAACCACTACTGGTACCGTGGATCAATAATCCATAATGAAGGAGAAGTTGAGGAGAATATTCCCATAGAAATAAAGTTGGATGGTTGAAATTGATAGGTGTGTCTACTGTGTTGTGTGACTGTTGTATATCAATGAAACTGAAAAGTTATAAAATGACCATAAGACCATCAATGTTATATGGAATAGAGTGTTGGGTAATAAAATTGAGTAACTAAGATGAGGATGCTCAGATGGATGAGCCATTAAGTTAGAAAAGACAGAAATAGAAGCAGGCACATCAGAGAGAATGACTTGGTGCAAGTAGATTGCTAAAAAGCAAGGGCAATACCAAAGAAAATGCAGGCTAAAGTTGTAAGAAATGATCTAAGGACTTGAAATTTGGGAGAAATATGACTTTTGATCGTGCACAATGATGGGATGGGATTAATTAAAGTTACCGTTTCCAATAAAAAATGATGGTATGGGATCCATGTAGCTGATCCCAAATGGTTGGAATTAAGGCTGAATCAAGTTGAGGGTTGTTTATCTCAAAATCAGGTATCCCATTTTCTTTTCAATGCAAATTGTACAAGAATATGTGGATTACCTTTTCAGCAATAATGTATGATATGTATTTCCAAATATGTTTTTGATAGATCCCATGCTATTTATTTAAATAAAACGAGTAGATACGAAATAAAAGGAGCTATATTATAGGAATTCCCAATAAGAAAGAACTAGCAAGAACCCATTATACTAAGTATACCTCAATCCACAATTTTCACCATATTGTCAAGTTTCTGAAGATGGCTGTAAAATGTCCTGTTTACTCAAGGACAAAACGCTAGTACCCAGAGAAGTTTAATGTTTCATGGCATAAGTTCTGGCTATGACAATGATGACAAGGATGGTTACTCCAGATAGGCATAGCTGCACCAATCTAGTAGAAAACCTAGCAGAAGAAAAAGGAATGTTCCTATGGTAAACTGGTCTATATGGGGAATTGTATAAATGATATACAAAAAAGTTGGAAAAAAGAAATATGGTAAATGAAGAATTTTCTGATTTCAGTGCTAACGTGTGTATGACAGGTTGGCACAACATTGTTGGATTTTAAAAATGAAGTCTCCTTGTTAAGATGGTTTTCATTGAGCTATGCACCATTGGCTTCAAGTGTTAGTTCCTTTAGTTTCTCCTCAATAAGGATTTACTGGTAATTCATAATAACTTGTTGACTGTGGCCCTGAATAAAAGACAACAGATCAAGTGCTCAACTCTTGCAAATCTGGCTATGCCCAATTTTTCCTAATATTCCAGGATAACCATGTCTTCACCATTTGAGAATATCCCTGCCCTGAAAGTTATGGGTTCCCTTTAGATCAGTCATCAAAGTTTACATCAAGAATTGACATTTTTTTTTATCAATAACAGTGAATTTTATTAGAGATTGGGAAATTACATAGCTAAGGAGCTAAAGAATCTTAACTCTCTATCCCTAATACATCAAAGCACACCCAAACTGTAAATCAATTACATCAAAGAATTGACATTTTTCATTTGTCTTAACTGCACATAAATATCTCAATTTTATATATCATCTTCATCTAAGCCTTATCCCAACTATATGGGGTCAGCTACATGAATCCTGTTTTGCCATTTTTTTTTTTGATGAATGATCCTGTTTTGCCATTCTGTTCTGTTTATTCCCTTCTCCATTGTAAAATGAAAAAGGCCATTACACAATGTTGGTCCCAACCGACCTTTCCTTTTCCTTTGAAGGATATGACAAGTATTAATGCAACCCCAAGCTGCCTCCCAGATGAAAAAAGAAACCTTAGAAGGGACTGAGGGAAGGCAAAACCTCCTCTCTGGGAGGGCAAGAGACGGATCCAGCTATGAGACAAAGGAAATATGACTTTGTAGAGAAAGAACCAAAGGAGGTAAGGGACCAAATGCATTTATCAAGAAGGTTGGAAGAGAGAAAAACATCATTCAGAGAAGTTAAGAGGGAAGAAAATTGCTTAAGTTTTGAAGTTTGTGAGAGATCTGTGAAAGCTAAAAGTTATAGGAGGGGCAATGGACTCCTCTAGACAAAACTAAAAGAGATCAAACAATCTTTGTTCATATTAAGATGTAAGAAGCTAAGGTAGGTGAAACAAAGAGGTTGGGAACCCCACCAGAGAAGTCCAGAATATGATGGGGTTACCATCACCAAGGGAGAATCTCAAAAAGGGGGAAAACCATTTGCCTAGCGGGGCAATATTCCTTTCAAGCAGATGCTCTAATCCCAAATCACCTTCCTTCTTTGGCATGCAGATAGCAGACCACCTATTGGAGCTACTCCCAGGTTCCTTTGAATGACTTTATTTCCAACCCGTCCTTTATAGTTTTTACACGCACCCATCTCAGCATATGCATTTTTGCAACCCTCATTTTTTGAACATGTTGTATCTTGATTGATTGCCCACTCTGCCCCATAAAGCATTGCTGGCCTTACAACTGTTATTATAGAATTTTCCATATTAAACCTGCAATTTCATGGTTGGAGTGAATAAAATAAAACAAGCCATGACCAACTTTGGTCCTGTTCAGAAAGAATTGATTATTTTTCTGTGAGTGTATGGACCATGAATGTATTATAAGATACTTCACAGTATTGCTTGGGATCAACTAGACCTTATAAAGACCAACTTAAGTCCAACCTCAACCCTATCCTCACTGTGAATTTCTGAAGAATGCTTTGCCAAATGGAATTCTAAAATACTTGAACAAACTACAAACTGCTGCTAAGACTCAAGAAGCACCAAGTAAAAATTAATCAAAACAACTTCAATTCCAAAGGAAGAATCAATAGAAGTCAGAATTAGTGATTTACATCACATATTCATGCTATTTACTTGCAGCCACCAGCCATAGCACTCTCCAGTTAAATCAAATTGTATGATATTGGGCTTGTTGAATTGGTATCAAATAGACTTTTTAGAAGAGCCAAAATTATCTTCCATTTTTCTTCAACAAGAATAGATTGCAAGATAAAGCTTATCATCTTTTGTGTTACTAAACCTTTATATTTTCTTTATGAATAAACAACTGCTATTAGACTATATGTAGGTTGAATTGTGAATCCACCAAGTTGCTTGCATATGTGGTTTGCTATTACTTGGTGCTTATGCAGTTTTTTCTCTCCCAGGAGAACAGAAGGACTGAAGTTGTTCCAAGTGAGGGTTTGAATTTCACGGAAGAACTATTAAGCGTGACCTCATTTGCCCGGCAGTTAAGCAATCAAATGACACTTGCCAAGTCTTATGTTATTATAGCAAAAGAGCACAATAACCTTCAACTTGCTTGGGAATTGAGCTCAAAAATCAGGAGCTGTCAGCTTTTGCTCTCAAAGGCTGCCATGAGAGGAGAATCTCTCTCATTAGATGAAGCACAGCCCATAATTGAGGGCCTAACCTCACTGATCTATAAGGCACAAGATGCTCATTATGACATTGCTACCACAATCATGACAATGAAGTCCCACATCCAAGCCCTTGAAGAGCGTGCAAATGCAGCAGTAGTGCAGAGTGCAGTTTTTGGGCAGTTGGCTGCAGAGTCTCTGCCCAAGAATCTCCACTGCTTGAACATCAAACTCACAGCTGATTGGCTTAGAAATCCTTCCATTCAAGAGCTTGCTAATGAGAATAGTAACTCCCCTCGCCTTGTGGATAACAATCTCTACCATTTCTGCATTTTCTCAGATAATGTGCTGGCAACCTCAGTAGTCATTAACTCAACCATCTCCAATGCTGACCATCCAAAGCAGTTAGTGTTCCATATTGTCACAAATGGGATCAGCTATGGAGCAATGCAGACATGGTTTCTCACTAACGATTTCAAGGGATCCACCATAGAAGTGCAGAACATCGAAGAGTTTTCTTGGTTCAATGTCACTTATTCTCCTGTTATGAAACAACTCCTTGATGCAGAGACACGAGCTCTCTACTTTGGGAGCTCTGAAGAAGGCGAAGCAAAGTTTCGGAATCCAAAATACCTATACTTTCTTAACCACCTAAGGTTTTACATTCCAGAAATATATCCCTTACTGGAGAAGGTAGTTTTTCTGGATGACGACATTGTTGTACAAAAGGATCTGACCCCTCTTTTCTCATTGGATTTGCATGGAAATGTGAATGGAGCTGTTGAGACTTGCCTTGAGGCATTCCATCGTTATTATAAATATTTTAATTTCTCAAACCCACTCATTAGCTCAAAGTTTGATCCACAGGCTTGTGGATGGGCATTTGGGATGAATGTTTTTGATCTGATTGCATGGAAGAAGGCAAATGTTACTGGACGGTATCACTACTGGCAGGAACAGAATTCTGACCGGACGCTCTGGAAATTGGGGACTCTTCCACCTGGCCTTTTGGCATTTTATGGATTGACAGAGCCTCTTGATAGGAGATGGCATGTGCTAGGGCTGGGATATGATGTGAACATTGACAACCGTCTGATTGAAAGTGCAGCTGTCATTCACTTTAATGGTAATATGAAGCCATGGCTGAAGTTGGCCATTAACAGGTACAAACCTTTGTGGGAGCGGTATGTAAATCATACATACCCATTTCTGCAAGATTGCCTCACAAGTTGAGAATGTGCTAATTTCCTTTCCAGGTCAATTTGATGCAATAGTCAAATACATTTGGCCTCTCAAGCAATGGTCACATTCTTGTAGTCAAAAGCAAAAGCTTTGCGCTGGTAGAAGCTATTCATTTCCTTTTGTCATTTAAAGGAAAAGGTTTTATACATCAGAAAACATTAATGTACTAGATCTAGGGGTATGGATAATTCTTTCTTTGCTGATAGGGCTTCCTTTCTTCCTCTCCTGGGGGAGGGGGTCTTCGAGGATGAATTGTTCTGTAGCAAATTTTGTAATAATTCATCTGCTCTTTTAGATTAGAATGTATCTGGACCCAAATTTTTTGTAATCCAGCCAGATGATCTGGTGATAGATGTAAATTTTCACAAGACCCTTCTTTTGGGGGCATTTCATCAAGAAAAAAGTTGTTTAGATAATCAATTATGAAAATTTAAGTTTTGGAGGGGAACATTCAAAGCTGTGAGTTCTGGGTCAGCTCATAACTTAAACAGTTCAACTCCTCCCTAATAATTGTTGGCTAACTAACTTGACTCATTTGACTGTTAGAGTTCAACTCAGACTGATTTTGGGGAAGTATAGATAAAAGAAAATTTAGGGACAATGGTCAACGCTTTAATTCTAAAAGATTGGGCATTCACAGAGGTATTCCGCATTTGCAGTTGAGCACTAGCCGCCTGTTATCAAGTTCATTGCTTGAATGTTTACTGTATTATGTATATGTGTGCTGGAAATTTAATTTCACCTGCGTCATCTAAAAAAAAGAGCCCAACTGCAATTGTGTCGGATTTGATTATGACTATTTTAATTTTAGTTGTAATCCATATTGGATCATTGAAGACGATCAATAACTGTTCACACGCAATATCATCAAAATAAGTGACCAACGGTCATTATCATTTTCCAATGCGAAGGTAAAAGTTTATTCATCCTTTGCTCTGCACTTCATTTAGTTCACGCATCCCCCCCTCCCTCCAAAAGAAATCTTACTGCCCACACTCCACACGACGACATTTATTAATATGTTCTTATCAGCAAAGGCTTGAGGCTGAGGGTTCTTATCAGCAAATGGATACCCACTTCTGTTTCATTTTTTTTTTTTTTTGATGATGCTCCATGGTCCAATCATCCCCACACATAACTGCCCGAGTTTCATCTCTATATTGTCAATGGCCCGTGTGTCATCTATTTTATGTAACACTATCGGACCACCGATCGATCTCTACCCGATGAAAAATCTTGGTGGTCGGTAATTTGGATTAGATGCCGAGTAGCGAGCTGCCACCACTATGTGCAAGCAGCATGCTATATGTCCTGTCAAAAGCAAGTGTTTTTTAACCATGATGTCTGTGTTTGGATATTTCGCTGCAAATGGCAATAAAATTTGTGACTGAACTATTGTATAAATTAACTGAGATCTGGTCTCCTTAGTGGCCAAAAGAAATAAATTCAAATAATACATTGAAAGCAATTGCCAATATGATCATGAACCTTGCAAGAGAAGAGCCTCTTTTCAACTCTGTACTGTATTCTATTTTCTTCTTTTTGGGTGTTCGGCGAAAATTTTATATCACACATTAATTTCTTCTAGTCTACAGTTGACTGGTTTTTGCATGAACCACATCAAGAAGTTTGGTGTCTCCTGTTCTTTCATGCTAGAATTTAATCTCTTCCCTGTATTCATGGATGAAGCTTTGCGTTAATGATTCCGAATTAATCATAAAAGAAATTTTATGACTATCTTCATGCAATTAGGATCATCAGAACGCTCCACAGAAAGAGCAGTTGCAAAATATCCTGGCATTTGATATTAGTTTACTTTTCAGTACTCTTTCATAGGCTAAACATGAGAGGAAACTTCCTTCTGCAGTTGTTGTAGGCACTGTTTTACTGTGATACTTGCTTTCAACAAGGTTTCTCAAAGGCCAGCCACTTCATATCAGTTTCTTTTCCCAAACAACGCTTGCCACCTTTCACTAGGAGAAAAATTAACATATGTATCTTTGGTCTTTTGTCAACTTGAAGGGCCAAGAATTCACAAACTTGTTATGCACAGGTGCTTCTGTTGCAGTGGAATGTGGAGATGTAAGTCTGAAACCCCTGGCCAGTTTCCACAAGGAGGTGAAGACGGATGAACATGGGCGATTCAAAGTTCATCTACCATTATATTTGCAGTCAGTAAACACGTCAAGATCATTAAGCGGTGCTTTGTGAAGTTAATTAGCAGCAGCGAGCCGTTTTGTGCAGTGGCCTCCCTCCACAGCAACTTCATCATCTATTCATCTCAAGTCAAGAGAACACGGACTTACACATTTTCTCAGCTGGGTTTTTCACCTCTTCAAGCCTCTGAAACAGCCTGACCCGTGTAACCAAAAGCAACGCCTTGAAACCTCAAAGAACTCAATTCCATGAAGAACACCCTTCCTTTTCCAAATCTTCCATTGTTTCCACTGGTGAGTCAAGATCCAACAGTGCCAAATCTCTCAACTCCAAATCCAACATTGCCACTTCTACCTCCTCTTCCTCAACTTCCTCAGCTTCCACCATTGTCAACTAGATCCATACCACCTCTTCCTCAACTCCCCCAGCTTCCAACACTTTCGCCTCCTTTGCAGCCACGACTTCCGGGGGTACCAAGTTTACCACCTTTGCTGAAAGAACCAACTCGGACAAAAACTACTGAACGTTCAAACACAACTCCCATGTCAGACCAAAAAGACGAGCAGCCAAGTTGCGATAAAGCAACTTGCGATGAACTTCACTCCTGCGCTGAAGCTGCGATGAACCCACTCTTAGACATACGCGATAAACCTCACTCCAGCAAATGAGTTTGTTACCGTCCGTTAATCGGTTATGGATTCGATTTTGGTTGTTTCTTTGTAAATGCCACGTCAGCTCCTTGTAATATTTGCCTATATATATCTGAATATTTTAATTAAAAAAATAACTTTCTCTTCGTCAATTTTGCCTCTCTAGTTTTTACATGGTATCAGAGCGACATGCCCTCTCTCGGAAAAATCCGATTCTTGCGAAAATTTTGGATTCTTGTTTCTAATTTTCTTATGCTTCTTGCCTTACCTTTCTTCACTCCGGTCTCCTTCTTGTTTTGCCCTCTTTTGACATCAACGAGGATGGCCCTGAATAGGAGTGGAAACAACATATTCATCATAGCTAATCAGATATCTTCCGATGATCAAGATTCACCTTTCTACCTACATCCTTCTGATGGTATAGTGTTTGTTTTTTGTCTTTTTAATGGAGACAACTACATGACTTGGCGAAGAGCAATGACTAATGCTCTCAGCGCCAAGAACATGATTGGCTTCGTGAATGGAATGATTTAGAAGTTAGATCCGACGAATCAGGCAGAATTCCTTGCTTGGTCAAAATGCAATTCCATTGTGGTGTCACAGATCTTTAATGCGCTAACCAAAGATCTCCATGAGAGCGTTGCTGAAAACGCTCAAGAAATGTGGAAAGATTTGGAAGAAAGATTCTCACAAGGAAATGCTCCAAGGATCTTCCATCTCAAAAGAGAACTCATGCTACTCAGAAAAGAAAATCTCCTTGTCTCTTTTTATTTTTCAAAACTCAAAGGGATCTGGGATGAGTTATCAGCCTATATTACTGGACCATTGTGTACCTGTAGAAATGGGGCTTCAAGTAATCAATTGCCGATAATACCCTCTTTACTCTAGTCCAATCAGGTAGCGTTCTCGTGGTACTTGCATATGTTGGTGACTTGGTGATTGCTAGGAATGACCCAACCTATATTTATGCTCTTAAGGACTACCTATGGTAGTGTTTTCCAATCAAGGACCTCGACATTCTTCGATATTTTCTTGGCATCGAGATCTCTCGGTCCTCTTCTAGCATCTTTCTCAGTCAAAGGAAATATACCCTTGACATTCTTTAGGATGCAGGTATGCTAGGATGCAAACCTAGTATATTCCCCATTGCACAACAATTTCATTTGGGACCTGAATCTGGTGAGCCAATTGCTCAACCCAATCAGTACAAACGCCTTGTGGGACGTTCCTCTATCTCACCATTACGAGACCAGAACTCACTTATCCACTTCACATTCTAAGTCAATTTATGAGTGATCCTAGACAACAACATTTGGCCACTGCACTGCACGTCCTCCGATACCTGAAGGCTACACTTGAGCAATGTATATTTCTCCCGGTTGATTGTGATCTCCAATTATGAGCTTATTGTGACTCGGATTGGCAACCAGTCGGAAATCCATCACCGACTATCTGACAACTCTAGGACAATCTCCTTTGTCATGGAAGAGCAAGAAGCAAGCAACAATGGCCCACTCTTCTGTTGAAGCAGAGTATCGTGCGATGGCAGCCACTACTAGTGAACTATTATGGCTGAAGCAAATCTTCTCTGATCTTCGTCTTTTTCATCCACAACCGATGCAACTGTACTGTGACAAGGCAGCACTCCACATAGCTGCTAATCTAGTGTTCCATGAGCGCATCAAACACATCGAGATAGATTGCCACTTCATACGAGAACACCTTCAGTCCAAAGCTATAACTACTGCTCATCTACCTATGTCAGTTCAGCCTATAGATATCTTCACTAAAGCAGTTGGCCGAGATAGATTTGCATCTGTTACCCAAGTTGGACATTTTTAATCCTCATGCTCCAACTTGAAGGGGGTATTAGAGAAGAATACCCAGATGACCCAGATGACACAACTTGCGATGAACTTCACTCATGCGTTGAAGCTGCGATGAACTTCACTCCTTGGAACGAGTTTGTTACCGTCCGCTAATCGGTTACGGATTCAGTTTTGGTTGTTTTTTGTAATAATTGCCTATATATATCTGAATATTTTAATAAAGAAAAATAACTTTGTCGGGTTTTTTGCCGATTTTCACCCAACGAACATCCCTAATCTTTTGTGGTTTGAACATTACTTCACCAACTTCAGATAACGGAGGGAGCGTGGGGCTGGTGATGTCAAAGGGGATAGGCAGGGCTTAAGGAGACTAACATGAAAAACAGGGTGTAACTGGCACTCTGTGGGAAGGTCGAGACGATAGGCTGCACTCCCGATTCTCTCAACCACCTGAAATGGGCCAAAATAACGGGGAGACAGCTTCTGAGACGCTCTTTGAGCCAGAGACGCCTGTCTATATGGCTGAAGTTTCAAATAGATCCAATCTCCCATTGAGAATTCCAGCTCTCGATGCTTCTTGTCATAAGCAAGTTTCATACGTTGTTGGGCCGGCTGTAAGTGATACTTGAGGGTCTTAAGTATGTCGTCTCTCTCAGTGAGTTGAGCTTCAACTTCGGCTATTGAGGAGGTCCCTTTTTCGTATGGCATAATAGAAGGGGGATCACACCCGTAAAATACCTTGAAGGGAGTTGTCCCTGCCGAAACCTGAAATGTGGTATACCAG